AACGTACCAGAGAATAGTCTAAATACTAGCCGAGGTCAGGAACACAGAACGAAACACAGTAGCAAAGTCAATAACCAAAGAAACACGATCCAGAACGAAGCCAAAGTCAATAACCAAAGAAACACGATCAGGAACACACTCTCGGATAACCAGCAAAGGGAAACCATGACAGGGCAATGAGCAGAAGAAATGAGAGTTTAAATATCCCTCTTGTGAATCCGATTGGCGGGCCTTTGACCCAAAATGCGCGCGCACATCCTCTGCGTGAAGTCACCTGCACATCGACGTCGCAACCATCGTGGACAGACGTGTGGCTACATAACAGTATGGATCCGCAGCGGCCGGTGTCCACAGGCATGTCTCAAAAGCCCTGCCCTATGGCATTGGACCGCCTAGCAGCACTTCTCCTATTCCTGGAAAGGTGATTTATGTTGTGCATCGTATATGGAGAGGATGTATACGTGACAGTCCCACAGCTCTAATCTCCCCCTCTCACTAATTCCAAACTCTGAATCCTTTCTACTTCCCTTCTTAATAGCAGGCAGAAGAAAGTTTCTGGTACGCAGCCTGTTACAGAGAAAAAGAGGTGGATGTAGCAAGTCTAGCAGAAAATGTAATATACCACCACACTGCCACTTCTTGATCATGGGCTGTTAGAGATATAAATGCAGTAATAATGTTTGCACAGTGCACAAAGTAATCGATGAATGAATGTTTATAGATAACCATTCCACCTTGTTCTTCTGAATAAAGATTAAAAACAGGTTGGAAGCCACGATTTGTAATTAATGGCGCCATGTATAGTAACAAAATTATACATTTAAAATAATTGGCTCCTTCTGCCTAAATTTGTCAGCTTCTCCAGATAATTCTCTCTACTTATCTCCCAAGTAATTTCCAACAAGGAGAGTTATTTGTGGTGTTGGTTTTTCTCATGTGCCAACAATATAACAATATTTTTCGATATAAGTTACTTGTTAGAAAAGCATTCTCAAATCTTTAAAGATGGTGATATTGCTAAATATTTGATTGTCCCGTTAAAGCGTTTGTAACACCTCTGCAGCAAAGTTGTGAACGCTGAAACTTGTATGCTTAACATAAAATGTAATGCCCTTTTTCACTGATCCAGTTATGGTAAAAGTGGCAGAGAATTATCAAAATGGTGGAATTGTGATATTTTAGACAATGTTAGCAGGTCAACGGCAGCTGTTAAAATGTCGATACATATTGGATATGAGATTTTCATTTCTGAATATGTGTTTTATTTAAAGCAACATTTTAAGCATGATTCCACTAAAGTGCACAGTAGTGGTTATGGTGCCAGGAATGCCTTTGCACCACCCAATGTAAGTAGTCAAACCATTTGGTAACTGCTTGACTTCCTACTTGGGGTCCTCTGGTTGTTAACTCCTTCCACTCTCCTTCAGGTGCTGAGAGCTGAAGCTCTTGTTAGCTCTCCTGACGTAAGCCCTGCTGATCACTCTCAGCCAGTGAGCTATGACCGCACCTCCAGCTTAGCTCAGACATAGTTTCCTGCTCCAGAAGAGGCTGGGGGAAGTGTGCGGCAAACCACAGGCATCAAATGGTTTGTCTTATATGGAGTGGGCTCCATGGCACTATTGGCACCATGACCACTACAGCACAGTTCAGTGGTTATGGTACTTAGAGCTTTCCTTTAAGATTTAATAATTCTGCAATGATAAATGCAAGCCCCCCCCAAAAAAAACCTAACAAGAGATATTAAAATAGTGCTATTTTTATATTTGAAATGTATATTCAAATCTCTTCAACTGCACTTATTGGGGCTGACAACATTCCAATTACCTGGACTGAATCCTCTCTTTGAAATGTAACTGAATTGTTACCCTGGCAACTAAGAAAGTTTGGCAGCCCTGTGCCTATGGGCATCCTAAGACTTTGTTGCCACTCTTTTATCTTAAAATCTATCCTAATCATGGAATGTTCCTCGCATGTGTGTGTGGAGTTGAGTTGTATCACTGACTGACTTCTATTCAGTGGCGTACACATGACCCATGGGGCCCCGGTGCGAAAATTGATCCGTGGCCCCCCCCCCCGCGCGCGCGGGCCGCAACACATGGCTGTGGGCACCTGGTCGCAGGGGTTACAGGGCTGGGACCCCTGCGACCATGGTATGTACGCCAGTGCATGCAGATGCACACACACTTAAAGGACCACTCCAGACACCCAGATCACATCAGCTCAATGAAGTGGTCTGGGTGCCAGGTCCCTCTAGTTTTAACCCTGCAGCTGAAAACATAGCAGTTTCAGAGAAACTGCTATGTTTCACTGAGGGTTAATCCAGCCTCTAGTGGCTGTCTCACTGACAGCCGCTAGAGGAGCACACTGAACGTCCATAGGAAAGCATTGAGTAATGCTTTCCTATGGGCGGTTTGAATGCGTGCGCGGTCGCATTCGGAGCTGAGAGGCTGAGGGATCCCCAGCGCCAAGGGAGTCCGGCGCTGGAGAAAGGTAAGTGCTGAAGACACACACACTCTCACTTACAGACGCATACACACTAGCTAACAGACACACACATTTACTGAGACACACTCAGCGACAGACATACATACACACTCACTTACAAAACATACACTCTCATTGACCAACACACACTCACTAACAGACATCAAACAGACTCACTAACACACACACTCAGTAAGACACACACAGTAACACTCACTGACACTCACTAGCAGACACACTCACTCACTCTAACACTCACTAGCAGACACACTCACTCACTCTAACGCTCACTCTAACACTCACTGACACTCACTAGCAGACACACTCACTCTAACACTCACTGACACTCACTAGCAGACACACTCACTCTAACACTCACTGACACTCACTAGCAGACACACTCACTCTAACACACACTAACACTCACTAGCAAACACACTCACTCTAACACACACTCTAACACTCACACACATTAACACTCACTAGCAGACACACACACACTAACACACACTCTAACACTAACACACACTCACTCTAACACTCACAGTAACACACACACACTCTAACACTCACACACACTCTAACACTCATACACACTCTAACACTCATACACACTCTAACACTCACACGTTTTTTTTTTGTTTTTTTTAAATGTAACCCCCCCAGCCTCCTTACCTTTTGGAGTGCTGGGGGGATTATTCCCTGGGGTCCAGTGGCCCTGCTGACCCCAGCGGGCGGGTGGCCGGTCGGGCAGGCGGGCGCGCGAGGGAGCACTCACTGCTTCCTCTTCAGCTCCCTCGCGCGCCGCGTAGGGATGACGGAGCCGGAAGATGACGTCATCTTCCGGCTCCGGCATCAGTGCGGTGCGCGAGGGAGCTGAAGAGGAAGCAGTGAGTGCTCCCTCGTGCGCCCGCCTGCCCGACTGGCCACCCGCCCGCTGGGGTCAGCAGGGCCAGCCTCGGGGGGCCCTGGGGTGGCCGGCTCCTGGGCCCCCCAGGGGAAGAGGCTCTCCCTGTGGCTACATACCGGGTCGCAGGGGCGGCCGGGCCCCCTGGTGGGCCGGGCCCGGTCACAGTCGCGACCCCTGCGACCCTGGTATGTACGCCACTGCTTCTATTGATGTCATCAATGCAGCGATTAATGCGCATATAGTTTTGTAATTATCTTACATAGTAGGTCATGTAATAAACAGCTGTATTGAAAAAATACAATAATCGTAAATATTAACAGTGGGTGGAAAATTAAAATTTGCAGTAATTTTCCTCTGTACATTTTTTTTAAATTTTGCTTTAACTGGCAAAAATCAGTGCTATTATTTTATTATTTATATAGCATCATCAGACTCTGTAGCGCTGTACAATGGGTGGACTAACAGACATGTAATTGTAACCCGACAACTGGACTTAGAGGAACAGAGGGGTGGAGGGCCCTACTCCATGAGCTTACATTCTAGAGGGAGTGGGGTATAGTGACACAAAGGGTAAAAGTAGGGGTACGAAGTAGGTTGTTAGAAAAGTATTAATTGAGAGCTTAGTAGGTAATTTTTGATGGTTGCAGGGGAGGAGTCATGGAGGGTGGGGGATGAAAACCTGCTAACAGTTTATAATTTTTTTAAATGAGTGGAGACTGGGTGCGCGCGGACAGGAAAATGAGCCTCGCTCATTATAGATTGCAGCAGTGCAATCTGGGAACACGTAAGACTACTGAGAAGAGGATTGCAGTAGTCCAAGCGAGAGAGAACAAGAGCATGGGCCAGCACCTTAGCCGCATTCGGGGTTAAATAGGGGCGGATGCGTGCTATGTTTTTGAGATGGAAGTGACAGGATTTGACGATTGATTGGACATGAGGGGTGAAGGAGAGGTTGGAGTCAAAAATAACATCCAGGCAGCGAGCCTGCGAGGTAGAGGTGATGGTAGCGCCGTTGTCTTGGAAGGAGACAGACACTGTTTGTAAGAAGTGAATTAAAATTACCATGATTTTTAAAGAAAGCTCTGCCAACACGCTGAAAATACATCATGTTCAAAACGAACACAGAAATAAGTGTTATCAGTCAACCTTCCCCTACAAATTTCTCAGGGTAGGGAAATTTGATAGAACACTGGGGCTCTATGTAAAATCCTATCCCCGCCCCCATCCACATACATTGACAGTCTGCATTTTATAAAGGAGTTTTTAAAAAATACAGGGATGGCTGGGGTGATCTGCTGATCTTACCATTTGGTCCATAACTTTTACTGCACCCAGGCCCCTGACTGCCACAGACCCTCGGTCACTGCTCGAAGTGCCCAAGTGGTCAGTCCGCCCCTGTTCACAAGCTTATGCATGTGATTTTCCCAGCATCACACATCGCCTGCACTAACGCTGGGAAAATAGATTCACTGACTGAGCATTGTAAGCCAGCCTACAGCACATGATATTGATAGTGATGTCCCGAACTGTTTGCGAACGGTTCGCCACGAACGGTTCGCCGCGGACTCATCATTGAGTAAACTTTGACCCTGTACCTCACAGTCAGCAGACACATTCCAGCCAATCAGCAGCAGACCCTCCCTCCCAGACCCTCCCACCTCCTGGACAGCTCACTAAGAATGCAGCTTCACAATGGATGCTGTCCAGGAGGTGGGAGAGTCTGGGAGGGAGGGTCTGCTGCTGATTGGCTGGAATGTGTCTGCTGACTGTGAGGTACAGGGTCAAAGTTTACTCAATGATGAGTCCGTGGCGAACCGTTTGTGGCGAACCGTTCGCGAGCCGTTCGGCGAACAGTTCGGGACATCACTAGATATTGAATATCATGAATATTTAGATTGACTTCCAAGCACAACCGATTTCAACAGCAGCGTCGCTTTTTGCACTGGTTAAAGAATCAATATAAATGTGATCGACAAACATTGGCATGTGGTCTTTACGGAGTTAACATATTAGGTTTCTTCCCAGTAAAAAGGTAATAAAAGCTCCATAAAGCAAATATCACCTACAAATATTATGCACACATACATTTTCTACGTGCAAAGTACACTTTGGATAGCTTTTGGTAGTTTAAAGTACCTCACTCCTTTTGTACATTTAACCTAAATTTCAAGCACAGAAAAATGAAAAAAGTAAAATGAAGTGAAAAGGAACCTTTTAAAAGCTTGTTTTTAAGACAAGAACTCTTGCAGCAGTGTTGTTTGTTAAACTACATTCCTGTAACTAAAGGCATCTTTCCAATAAATTAAAATGCCATCCAGTTTTCATAATGTCTGGCTTCATAATATACTGGGGGGGATGGGGCGGGACATAACTTTATTTTTAGTATAAAACTAGACTAAATAACATATACAGATATCATTTGTAGTTCATTATTCTCTGCGGTTCCTTGTTGCTTATCACACACAGCAGATGAGTGGTTTTTAGTGTCCTTCAAACCTAACAGATAGTAAATTATAATAACACTCTTCACTAACTCCAAACATTTTGAGTTCTGAGAAAAGACCTTGTATAGAAATTGTATTAAATTGCATAATATGGGCTAAAGTTATGTTCTATAAAGGAAAAATTTTAATTTTTATTTCATTTTATAATTGCAAATAATCTTTTTTTCCCCTTTAAAGGACACAATAGTCACCAGAATAACTACCCGTTATTGTTTTTTGTTCTGGGGAGTATAATTATTCCCTTCAGTCTTTTTGCAGTAAACTCTATTGTGACGGACCACCTGGCACCCCAACCGGGTACCTCTGTCAATCGCTGCTTCCTAGTACTTCCGAGCACCATAAGCACTGTACTGGAACAACATAACCACCGTAGACTCCCACAAACCGCCGCAGCTTGGTTGGGGAGTTTGCCGTCCTCCACCCACCCTGTACCCAAGACCAGGATCCAGCTTCCAGTGGGTAGACCTCTCCTAGTCCAGAGAGCGTAGCAGGAACAGCTCTTATAAGAGCTAGTGATTATACACAGGGGAGTATGGTGATTTCGCAATCCCCAGGGTGTATGTAGTTCTCCAATCACCCAAACATGAGCCAAGACTTCGTGAAGGGGTAAACAAATCTCTCCGCTCTGCTTGGGAGATAATTGGATCAGTAACTGTACTAATTCTAATCCAATTATCTCCAAGCACAGAAAAAACACACTTTTTTAAAAACACCCTAAAATTACCCTAGAAAGACATAAAACCCCACAAATGTTACATTCCCTATTAGCCCTGATCTGGGTGACCAACATATCCAAAAATCACCCAGATCAGTTCAGGGGTTCAGAAATTTTATGGAAGTCATATTTTTTACCGACCACAGACATGGTTCCATAGCCGAAAATAGTTCTATAGAATCACGGCTAAGTGCCGCTGGAGGACCGACCAGGAACCGTGAGGTTTTCATGCTGAAAATAGTTCCAGGGCATTCGCGGCTAAGTCCCCCTGAAGTCTATTTGCGGTTTTCGTCCGTGCAAACAAGATGCCCGCCACCTCGTGGTCATCCATATGAATTGCGGCCACCCAGAAAAACACAGACCACAGAGGTGCAAATTGCAACAATGTATCAATTAAACTTAACAAGCTCCAGAGTGATCTCCAGTTCGTGCGGCTGATCAGTTAATGAACCATATAGTCCCAATTGCACGAAAAGAGCCTGTTTAAAGTATTTTTGCAAGGTCTATTCCAGGGGCCATCGTCACAGGGTAAGAGGCAAACAGGCCCCTCCAAAAACTCGTGGTAAACTCACGGGAAAAGGGGAGTTTGTCACACGGCCCACCTTACTTTTTACCTAATCATTCTTATAAGGATGCTCAAATATGTATCGTGTCACTTGTTTTTGCCCATCAAAAGAGTTCTAGCAAGGAATTGGAATTAAGTGTTGATCCCATTTCCAAGTCTTGGAAATGGTCCAATTTCACAAATGGAAAAAAAATTTCATTTCCTCAGGAGGAACAACACTGTTCACTTAATTCACAAAATATGGGGATGTTGGGACAAGCGTTCGGTTACATAATTTGGTCCTACTTGATTTGTGGCCCCTACAAGCCACCCCACGTATCAAACACCTACGTTACTAATAGTATATTTTTTCCTCTTTTGGTAATTTTGTGTTTTGTACTTTTAAACATCATTCAGAGCTGATCCAGTGTTTTCTTTAATTTTCACATGTATGGTTATTTAATGTGTCAGTACAATTGCATTGTAACATTTCTGTAATATGGCAACCTCTATGTATTATGCATTTATGGTGTAATTATTGTGATGTGCATGAACACTTTTATCATAAAACATTTCAAGTGGGGAAAAAAAACTGATGTGCAATAGTTCAGAAGCCTCATATAGAGGCCAAAATTCTGAGTAGGATTAGACAGGTAATTATTAAAACTGTCTTGGGAGATTTGTAATATCATGAAGGAACAACAAATTATCCATAAAAAACAAGGAATTGTTTTATCAACTCATGTCTGATGAAGCTCATTTTCATTCAAATAGTTTCACCAATAAGCAGAACTGTCATTTCTGATCATAGCCAATTGCACCCTACCAAATAGGGTGACCTCGGAGGAAGGGTTTCAGGAATAAATTCAAGCACTAGAGCCCCAAACATTAACTAATGTTATTACAAGGCAATCGAAAGAGCACGACTTTGCGAGGCAGCAAATGGAATTCATCAAACAAATCTCCATACATTAAATATTCTTTGTATGTAATATCAATGAAATTGGTTCAAGCCCACAAACCCTACTATTAATTTTGGCCCACCCTGTGTGTAATATATATATATATATATATATATATATATATATATAAAAGTAATAAACTCTTGCACTCCAACTCAAAAAATAATAATACCCGGTGCTCTGGTAGCTAAACACTATATACAGAAAAAATACCGGCACTCCAAGGTTTTCCAAAGGATAATCTTCTTTATTATTAATAACATCAACGTTTCAGCTCCCTTACAGAGCTTTCATCAGGATACACAAACTACATTAAAATGAAACAAGCTTATAAAGGACATGCAATACAAATTAAATTACAGGGTACTCACTTACAGGTGATCTGCATTTCCGTTTGCCGCCGGGTTCACCTAGATCGCCGACCTGCTCGCATCTACTTCCGGGTTCCGGCAGTCTACCACATGGTGCGTTGCATCAGGCGCGACGTCACACGTCGCCGAGGCAACCGTAGATGCTTGCGTCTCCCTGGCTACCTCTGCGTGTACAGGCGCCGGTTTAGATCAAACGTCATACCTTCTCGATTTGAGCATGATGTTGCCATGATGACCATGGCGCGCCTGGCAATCAAACAAAGAAATTACAGGTTATTATAACTTATATTCAGCAGGAGATCTATAGCCATTGGGAAGAGAATGCATAAAGTAAAAACACCCTACATCAATAAATAAAGTAAATAATGATGAACCTATTTACATAAATGAAAAAGTACAATAATTATGAGAAAATCCTAGTCTAAGTCTATTTTCAACAATCCAGTAAGACCCCAAAATTCAATATGGGGGAGGAGGATATTTAATCGTCTTACTTCAGTGTATTGTAAAGATTATTCAAATCTGTGTGGGTGTATTATACTAATGTAAAAAGATAAAACAGTAACGGTTAGTGCCCGAAGTGTCTCCCCATGAAATTAAAAGCGGATTCGAAGTGAGGAAAAAGTGAAAGAAATGTTAACATAGAATCCTCCGAGATAGAATCCACCCTGTATCTATATACCTGAGAGTTAGTGCCCACGTGTATCTTATAGATTATATCAAAGTTTTAAAATTCAACAGTAAAAAAAAGGTTTCTTATGAACTAGACCATGGATAATATATGGGGCACATACTGAAATTTCCCCCTAATAAGGTGTTGGGGCTAATAATTATCACCATTACCCCAGCAATATTATTAGAAAAATATTGAGGAATCCCAAATATGGCCGTAGAATTAACAATTATTTACAAGGACATGGCATAAGAACACTTCTCATTTAAGGCCCTAGGTGACAAGGTTCCCAGCTGGAAAATCCAGTAAGCCTCTCTTTGTAATAAGAGTTTGCCTCTGTCTCCCCCCCGAGTCGGAGTGGGGATGTGCTCAATTGCAACACATCTAAGGGTTGACAATTGATGTCGAAATTCCAAGAAATGTCTGGCCACTGGTTTATCTGACTTGCCATCACGATAGGCAAGCCGGATGCTAGACCTATGGCCTCTAATTCTCTCACAGAGTGCCGTCTCTGTTTTGCCAATATAATTGAGGCCACATGGGCACGTTAGTTTATAAATAACAAAGTCAGTCCGACGGTGAATCCGTTGTTGGATTTTGTATAGCTTTCCTGTGTAAGGATGGGAAAGGTTTTGGAAGGGATAATGTGACCACGCGTCACACACCCCAAACACCTTACTCATGCGACATTTGTCTCTACTTTTTTAACAGGGCTATAACAATGAAATGGGTCAGTGTTGACCAGTAGGTCCTTCAGATTCTTGTTACGTCGATAGCAGAACATGAGCTTCTGTTGAAAAATCTCTGGGAGAGATGGGTCCAATTCCAGTGTTTTCCAGTTGTTCCGGAATGAAGAGGTCAATTCTGAGCTGGCGGTGTTAAAAAACATTGGGAAGATGGGTCTGATGTTGGCCACCCTCTGAGATTGAGAGGAAGGAAATGAGTAGGTTGTTTTAGCCTTTGTTAAGGCTTGGGCCAAAACATTCCGAGGGTACCCCCTAGCTTGAAATTTGCTATACATGAGGAGTAGTTGTTGATCTAAATTAAACACGCATCTTTAAATAAAAAGAAAAGAGGGGTTGCAATAATATTCTCTAGAGACATTGACGTAGATATAAAATATCAAGAATCTGATGAATCGGCTAGATATCTAATTTTGGTGTGTGAAATAGATAAGACCCCTTTTACTTTGGTAAATATATATTTGCCAAATGTAGTTCCAGTCTCAAAGTTAATGAATAGGGTACAGAACATAATGAAAGGCACATTGATTATAGCCGGGGACTTTAACTGTGTAATGGACCCTAAATTAGACAAAATATCACAGAGTAACTCTAAGAATAATAATATAACTGAAAAACAATCTAAGAGACTGATGGCCCTCCTCAAAAGGTATGATCTTTATGATGCATGGAGGGCAAAAAACCCTATGGAAAAGGATTATACTCATATATCTAGTGCGCACGGATCATATTCGAGAATAGATATGTGTTTGGTTAATGCTAAGACGATTCCGATTATTAGTAAAATTATAATAAAAAATAATTTTTGTTCTGATCATAATTTTATATTGATTGATATTGGGAAATCTTATAGATACCCAATGCACTCTTGGAGATTAAATAAGTTAATTAAAAATGATACAAATAAAAAAGGACTTATCAAATTTCTTAAAATAGTTTTTTGAGGAAAATAACCCAGATGATACTTCACATATCACAAATTGGTGTGCACACAAGGCAGTAATGAGGGGTTATATGATTAAAGTAGATCATATACAAAGGGAAAAAATAGGGAAATCATTAACAGACATATATGGATTATTATAATCTATCTAAATTGAATAAATTGAAACCATCACAAGAAAGGAAAATAAAATTAAACCATCTACAAAATTTAATAAATATAAAAATAGAGGAAAAAATAAAAATAAATATAAATAAATTAAAAATAAATACTTATTATACGGGGAATCGTGCAAATAAAAATTTAACTAGGAAATTGAAAAATCAGAAATCTAGAAATAGAGTGGAAAAACTTGAGGATGACCATATGATTTAAACTTCTCCATAACAAATTGGACAGAAATTCAATAAATTTTATCAAGATCTTTATAATTTAAACTTAAAATCGAAAAATATAGAAATACAAAAATATTTAACTGATTCAAAAATTACGAAGATTCTAGATGAAGATCTTTTAATATTAAATCAACCAATTTCGGTGGAAGAAGTAGATATGCAAATTAATAAATTACAATTAAATAAAACTCCAGGTCCTGATGGATACTCAAATCTATATTATAAAATGATGAAACAAATATTAATTAAACCTCTTACAGATCTCTTTAATGAGGTCGTATTAAATATTGGAACTACTCCAATCGAATATTCTTCCTATTGCAAAATTAGGTAAAGATACTAGATTTGTAGAAAATTATATACCAATTTCATTGATTAATGTCGATCTTAAATTGTATGCGTCAATTATTGCCGAAAGATTGAAAAATATCATGCCAAAAATAATACATATAGACCAATCCGAATTTATACCAAGAAGGTCTACAACTAATAGTGCCAGGACAATTCTGGATATATTAGATCAATCAGGAAAGAAGAAAATCCCCCTGCTGATCCTGTCATTAGACGCAGAAAATGCATTCGACAGGGTCAGCTGGAGTTATATACAAAGCCTTTTGAAGGAATATGGATTTTGAGGTATGATTTTCAATGCTATTATGGCACTGTACTCGGCTCCAACAGCTAGGACTGTTGGCGCCAATATAAGTGCAGAGTGGTTTGAGTTAAAAAAAATGGTACAAGGCAGGAGTGTCATTTGTCTCCCCTGCTTTAGGTATTATCAATGGAGCCTTTGGCAATTAATATAAGGGATAATTGTAATATTAAAGGTTTTTATACTACTATAAGGGAAATTAAAATTTCGCTATATGCGGATGACACTACAATTATAATGACTTTTCCTGAGCAATTTCTACCAGAACTAATGAAAGAAATTAATAAATACGCATTGGTTTCAAATTATAAATTAAATACATTAAAATCTACGGCAATGTATAAAAATATGGATAAAAGGATAGTAGAAAAATTGAAAAATGAGTATGAATTCATTTGGGACAAAAAAGTAATAAATCATTTAGGAGCCTTAATTCCAGTTAAAGTTGAAAAGGCTATGGAACTGAATGTACTGGAACTATTAAAATACACTAATAAAACATTAAAATCGTGGAGAAATGTGCAAACATCATGGTGGGGTAAAATAAACGTGGTGAATGCATATATAGTACCTAAACGGTCTTATTTATTTGCAATGATTCCTCTTAAAATGTCGAAGAGCTGGCTGGATCTAATTCAAGCCAGTTTATCTTCTTATATTTGGCAAAATAAAAAGCCTAGGATTAGATTAAAGATATTATCCAAAAAAATAAAACAAGGTGGTTTAAATTTCCCCAATATAAAACTTATTTATTATGCGAATATAATTAAACATATATATAAAATGCAAGAGCAACATGAGAATGTAGACCCCTGGTACATTATCGAAGCAGAAGCAACGAAAATTACTAATCTGGAGTATTTTTTATGGTTGAACAGTGATAAGAAATATATAAAGGCCCTTACAGATAAATCATTGATTTTATATCAATTTATACAAATCTGGGAGGAGATAAAAAAAAGCTTTGGGAATTGCCAAAAATATACCAAAAACCTGTAAACTGACTGTATTAGAACAAAATATGAAAGATTTATCATTAAAGAACTGGCCGAATAAAGATACAATTTCAATTTCACAAATAATGAAGGATGATAAGATAATCTTATTTCAAGAAATGGTGGAAAAGTTTCAAGTTCCTAGCAGTGAAATTTTTACTTACTTGAGAATTAAAAACTTTATAGATATCAACGTCTTAAAATCTTCTCTTCAGCCAACAGGTTTTTTGGAAAATTTATTTGGCAATAAATATGTAAACAAAATAATTTCTAAAACTAATCTCCTCTTAGATTTACTTAATGATAATCCAACGAAAATAATAAATTACTGGGAGCAAGAACTTGGACTACCAATAACGTTGGATGAGTGGTGCTCCTCTATGTTATATACCTCGAAGTACATACATTGTTTAAATTTGATAGAGTGCCATTTTAAAGTTATAAATAAATGGTTTTTAACACCAAATAAATTAGCCAAAATGTATCAGAATTGTGATCCTACATGTTGGAGATGTGGAAGCAATCCGGGTTCATATAGCCATATATGGTGGTCCTGTCCAGGCATTGTTGACATTTGGATATGGGTCTTTAAATTATATTATAATTTGACAGGTATAAAATTAATATTCTCACCAGTAGTTACTTTATTACATGTAAATTGGAATTTAAAATCTCAAAACGATATTTGTATTGCTGTGCACTGTTTTATAGCTATGAAAATAGTAATAGCCAGAAATTGGAGGTCTTCATTACCTCTTCATAAACAACATATACTACTTCAAATTAAAACTCAATTGAATATGGAAAAAAATCGCTTACGATAAATCATATTTATCAAATTAAAAGAAATGTTATGTACGAAAACTGGTTAAATAAATTGTCAATTATGTAAGATATACCCTGAACTTGGAGTTAAAAAGTTTTCAAAACTGTGGATTTGTAAAGTATTAGCCTTGGAACCCCCAGGAATGAATGTTAGTACAGTTATGTAATGTAGCATTATGTATTTGTGTCTGAGTGATTGAATTTTTATCTTACTTTTTGAATTTGTATACTGATATAAATTGTATTTGTAAAAATTTAACTAAAAAAATATTATGATTAAAAAAACAAAATCCAACAACGGATTCACAGTCGGATTGATTTTGTTATTTATAAACTAACGTGCCCATGTGGCCTCAATTATATTGGCAAAACAGAGACGGCACTCTGTGAGAGAATTAGAGGCCATAGGTCTAGCATCCGGCTTGCCTATCGTGATGGCAAGTCAGATAAACCAGTGGCCAGACATTTCTCAACAGAAGCCCATGCAGGGGCGGACTGAGAACCCTCAGGGCCCCCGGGCAAAATAAATCAAGGGCCCCCTTACAGGCCCCACCCATACTCTGCAGCAAGCGCCACCCTTGTCCCGCCTCCAGCCACACCCTACACAATCTTTAGACACAAGGAACAAAAGGGCAATAAGCCCTTCGAGGCCCCAGTAGAGACTACAATTGAGGGCTAATGGGCCATGGAGGGGGGTCTTTCTAGCGGAGGCTATCTCAGTGTCCTTTAGAGGGTCTGTTAGAAAGAATCCCCTCCAAGCCCCATTAGAGACTACAATGGAGTCTAAAAGGCTTGGAAGGGGGTCTTTCTAACAGAGGCCATCTCAGCGTCCATTAGATATCCCCTGCTGGAAACAGTCGCCTCCAGGCCCCAGTAGAAACTACAATTGAGGGCTAATGGGCCATGGAGGGGATTTCTAGCAGAGGCTAGAGTCTAATGGGGCCTGGAGGGTGGTCTCTCCAACACTCTGGTTCCTATTCACAATATAGCAACACAACATAGCTCGCTGATACCTAAGCCAAGTTGGCTCCTCTTACCTTAATTACTGTTGCTGGCTGGCAGTCTGTGGGCTTGCTGGCTGCGGCTGGCAGGCTGTGGGCTTGCTGGCTACTGCCGGCAGGCTGTGGGCTTGCTGACTGCCGGCAGGCTGTGGGCTTGCTGACTGCGGCTGGCAGGCTATGGCTTGCTGGCTGTAAGCCTGTGGCTTGCTGTAGGCCTGTGGGCTGGCTACTGGCCTGTGGGCTGGCTACTGGCCTGTGGGCTGGCTACTGGCCTGTGGGCTGGCTACTGGCCAGCCTGTGGGTTGGCTGGCTGGCTACTGGGGCACTTGTAGATTATTTAAAGAAATAATCCATGCACAATAACCACTACTGCTCCAGAGTAAGTAGTCAAACCGTTTAAGAACAGTTTGACAACTTACCTGGGGTCTGCTGGGATATGAGGCTGTAGTAGGGAATAGGAGCAGTGGTGCAATGTGTGTGAAAGGTTCAGTGTGTGTGGGGGGGTGTAGTGTGTGAATGTGTAGAGTGTGTGGGCAGTGTATGTGTGTGGCAATGTTAGTATGGGGGGCTGTGTATGGGGGTCTGTGTGTATATGGGTGGGCAGTGTATGTGTGTGTGTGAGGCAATGTGTGTAAATGTGTATGGTGTGTATGGGGGCAGTGTGTGAATGTGTATGGTGTGTGTGTGGGGGCAGTGTGTTTATGGGGCTAGAGTTCACTCTCACCACTGCGACCACCAGGAATCCATGGGGGTTACAGTGTTGAGAGTGAACTCTAGCCCGTAGCTCCAGGGCTAGAGTTGACTCTCGCAAGAGCAGTAACGTTGCCATGGTAACCGCTGCAACGCTCTGTGCTCGCGCAAGAAGGACCCAGAGGAGCTGCAGGGTGAGCTCCCAGGTCCTCTCTTCCTCCTGCAGTGCCTGCGGACGGGGGAGAACGATCTTCCCTCTCTTTCTCCCCCCCCTCCCCATCTCTGTTCCCCTCTCTTTCTCCCGTGTCTCATTCTTCCCTCTCTGTCTCCCCATCTCTCTATTCCCCCTGTGTCTCATTCTTCCCTCTCTGTCTCTTTCTCCCCCTCCCCATCTCTCTATTCCCCCTCTTTCTCCCCGTGTCTCATTCTTCCCTCTCTGTCTCTGTCTCCCCTTGTGTCTCATTCTTCCCTCTCTTTCTCCCCATCTCTTTATTGCCCCCCCTTTCTCCCCCCTCCCCATCTCTCCCCTCTCTTTCTTCCCCCTCCCCATCTCTCCCCTCTCTCTCCCCCCTCCCCATCTCTC